AATAATTTATATAAAAATTTATATTATAAATTAAATCATTGTTTAAAATCCCAAGATAATTAAGAAAAAATGATTATTTTATGTTAGTTTTAATGCGATTTTAAATAAAAAATAAAAAAAGAGCATCTTAAGATTATGATTTATTTTCTTTCGATCGATGTAAATTAATGAAATAAATTTAATATTTTAACAAATAAACCTTTCAGAATATAATAAAGTATATAATTTTAAAAGAGATTATTTGTTTTATTTTATGTTTAAATTTTAATAATTCTAATTAAAATGTTTTGATGATTTCAAAAATAATAAAAATAGACGAGAAAATTATTCATTAATATACTACATCTACCTATATTTTTAATTGTGACGAATGAATATTTTATATTCTATTCTAATTACATTTAATTCGATACAGGTTTTTAAGAATATAAAATATGTTTTTTTTTTTATTGTTTAAAATGATTTAAAAGTGTTAAATTCGTTAAAATTACTCACTATTTAACATAAAAGTTGAAATACGATCGAGCGAGTTATTTTTATATTAATATATAAATAGAATAAATGAGGATTATTACTTAGAAAACTTAAATTTAAAGAGAGAGTGAGAGAGAGATTTTAGTGAAAAAAAAAATATTGCTACTTCTAATCCCTACCAGTATTATTTAACACGGTTGTGCAATTAGAAATCTAAGCTATGACAGACCGAGGAAGAGAGAAAACCGAGCTTTACCACAGACTCTGTTCTGCCTCTCACGTGTTCTGTTCTACCATCCCTACAGTACAGTAATGGAACACACCAACCGGCGAGCGTATTGACCGGACGAACAGTGTTTGTCATTCAGTGTCGAGACACAAGTCTAGCAACATCGTTTACAGACTCGGCCTTTTGAGTCCATTCGTCGCCGTCCCATAGTCTACCAAATTTGTAGCTGTCGTCAAATGATAATCATCCTATCAAGTTAAATAGACGAGTAAACAAAAGAATATATATATATATATATAAATCAAAATTTTGCATTTTGGTTTACTTCGGAAGTCAAGGCCGTCCTCGTTAGATCGACTATATAAAAACATTCCCCCCCAAAAAAAAAGTTTCTAAAGCTGTCGTGGATATACAGATATGCAATTTTCCAACTTTATAGGATGCAGTATCGTTAGGTAAGTATATTTAAATTTAGTTAAATAGAAGAGAATTAATGTAAAATAATTTATATAAGAATATATTTTAGTATATAGATAGATATACGGCATTTAATATACGGTAGCTGAGACTGCATGTGTGTTTCACGTGCCGTAGCTCGGTACTCCCTACCTGCTCTTGCTACCGATCAGACAGCCAGGCTAGTCGATAATTCTTAACTGTCTGACTAACTCACCGGGGAATTGTGCTCCTACCGCTCCTTCCCGGCTATACTAGAAGTGACGGAGTTTGTTGCAGAATTAGTATTGATCGCTTACTTAAGACTATTGTTAGTGTACCATTCTGTTCAAAGAATGAGGGATTTTATCGGAATGTTATACTAGGACTCACTTTCGATGACTTCGATCTAATAGCAAGACTTTGTACGACATTTTTATAAACTACACTTTGTTCTCTTTAAATAGTTTCGTATGAATCATCTCGTGGTGTACAAAAGTACAGTACATTGCATAGTAATGTGCGTTGAATTAAATAACATGAAAAAAAAACATTGCTATTATTTATAGGCCATACAAATAAACTTTTAATGGGGTTATGTCCTTAAATAACTGTATAATAATTAGGTGGTCAAACAAAAAAAAAATAGTCAAACGTTTGAGTAAATTCAACATTCCGCTGTATCGTGTTACAGTTTGCTATGGTGTCAAGTTTAGCTAACGCTTTACTTATTAGATATGCATATATAAGTGACTTCTTGTTGCCAAACCGCTTTTCATCGTTGTCGTAAGCCAACACGCGACTGTTTTAATATACAAAAGCATACATTTAAAATTTCAGAAATGGTTAATCGATTGATATCGACGAGTTTATCATTAAATCTTTGTAATAGATAGAGTAATTTATCTAGAAAAGATTTTTATATGTATTAAGTTGACGAAGATAAATTTTTTAATTATAGTAAAATATTTTATTATTTAACGTCCATTTTTCTATTTATCTGATATTTATTTTCCTTCCTGTTATGGAGAAGGAAGAAGAAAAACTGCTCCTGTTAGATTCAATGTGGGTTTTTGGAACCAAAGCAATCGATCGGCAACGGAGATAAGTCGCAATTTATTAACTGGGTCTTCTTCCATTGATGCGATTAAATACACAAGCTTCAATAAGTAATTTAGACCTGAGATTACGATATTAATAAAGAGGCAGAGAGAGAGAGAGAGAGAGAAAAAAAAAATAAATAAAAATTTTCATAAATCTCTAGGATTTCAATTTTTAAATGTAGCAACTTTCAAAGTGGAATCAAATATTTAAAAAATATATTTTTTTTTTTTCTCAAAAAGAAAAGAAATGATAGTACAAGTCGTAGTCGAATGAATCGGTAAAGAACTTAATGTCTTTGAACTCCAGACTACATTTTGATCTGCTGTTTATTACCCCGATTATATTTACTGTTTTCATCTGGCAATAGCCACCCCGAAGGTATCTGGGCGTCTGACTTTATCTGTATACATTCAAAACACATTACTGTTGCCAGGAATGTTTTTTTTCTGACTGGACTGTTATAAAGCATTCAACGCTGCAATTGTCTTTGACCACGTTTTCTCATGTCTGTGGCTATTGTTGTTGTTCCTGCCTGTCATTCAGACTGTTGTTTCTTCCTATTATTTCTTTTAGCCTCCAGTCTTGTCTTTGAGTTTTTCCTCCCCTCTTTTATTCTTAAAAAAAAAGGAAATTACGATTTTTAAAGTTTATTTTTTTGTAGTTTTAGACGAATCGTTCATAGTTCCACATGTTACCGATTTACATGGGTAGTTGTCTTTGATTTTTATTTAAATCGAAACAGTTCTAAGTTGTAATCGCATCCAGGAAAAATTCAAAGAACGTTAATGCTAAGAAGTCAATCGAAAAATATCCTAGAAGGTAATTATCTCAATATAAATATTTATAGGATAACTTTAAAAATTTTTTTATGGATTTTTTTTATAGCAGATAATTAAAATTTAATAATGTGAGAAAGGTGTTTAATGATGTTTTTATCTCTTTTTTGTTTAGCCTCATAAGCTGTAATAAAAATCCATTTTCTAGTTCTAAATTTATTCTGGACGATTTAAGTAGACTAAATTAGTTTTTCCCCTCCAAGAGAAAGTATGATGGATACAATTTGTAAAACCGTTCATCCTACATCTGATATTCTTTCTACAAGTAATGACTAGTAACTAGACACCTCCCAGGTTGCAGGCTACTAACGCTAATCTTTAGCGGCACTGGTACTAACTGAATTTGCATGCGCATTTATTTTTGCTCCTTTAGTAGTTTTTCTATGGCCGGAGAGCATCTAGTAGAGTGTAATCGCACATATTTTCAAACCGGTCACTTATTTGCACCACCCTGTCTGTCTGGAGCACGTAATCGTTTGCCATCTTTGCATGTCCGGGATAACAAGCATGGTGGTGGTGCTGGTGGCTCGTGTTGACGGTTTGTACCTCGCTTGGCGTGTACAGCGTTGTACCGTACGTGGCCCTAGGAATACGAGGTTGATCACCTTCCATCACGCAAGCCCAAATATTCAGCAATTTGCACAAACCGTCAAGTGAACTGCGCATCTGTCTCGTCTACTCGAATCGAAATGCAACTATAAAAAGTAATTTAAAATCTTCTAACTGGATGCAAAAAAAAGAGGAGAATCGAGTAAGAATTCTAATTGAATAGAAGAAAAGGTTAATGCGTTAATCTTCTTGTATGCAAATGTTTTCGCATCGTGCTGTTTTTGACTGCCATAGATTACATCAAACAATGGGATAAAATGCATTGTGCGAGCGGGCGCAATCGCTAATTTCGAATTGTTAAACAATGGAATGACCATTTGCGTCATCGGGAATCCGGCAGGCTGTAGAAAAGCCTCGGGGTCCTGCAGTGGTTATCTTTTGCACTCAATGATGGCAAGCTGGAGTGAGTTGGCACCTCGCTGCTTCTGTTGGGTGTGGACAAGACCCTTGTTCTCTAGGTCGGGTAGGCTTAGCACGTTGTAACCCCGGGGACAGCTCTAACCTTCCAGTCTCCAAGGCTGGAATGTCGCTGCACCAAAAACAGGACTTCGACGTCAACCTTGCGGCACTAGCATGGTCGATCCGAAACGGCGATTATGCTCCTATGAGTTATGAATTTTCTAAAGGCATTGCGTTTTTAACCTAAGTTGTAAAACAAAAGCTATAATCTCCAGACTAAACTGTGATGGAATTTGATAACTTATCAAATTACAGACTGGGATTCGAGCGGAGAGTATCTTATACAGAAAGTAAAAGACCGTTCCCTACGGTATTGTTTGTCAGGCTATTAATGATAGCCCTAATAAAAGTACCTTTCTAACATTGAAAACAGCAAGGGAGCGAAACGGGCGTGCACTTTAACCACCCCATCTGGTGAAAGGGGACGTTCGTAGCAGTGTTAATTCCATGCTGACCCACTCAGCCTTAATGAGACCGTTAACCTAATAGTGTGTCATTGTCGGGGAACGTTGATGCTTTTTTTTTCTCACACATACGGCAGCCCAATAGCATCAAACTTACTATTCGATAAAAAGAATCGATAGTTACAATATTATCTAGTAAGGATAACAGGAAAAGTATGCACGTCACTGGTAATGTAAGCTGCCATAATTGATTTTATATCGGGTATTTTAGACAAAAGTAGTATTGGAAAGTAAACATTTTATGTTTAAATATAAATAAAACGACTTTGAAACAAGAGGCTTATAATTCCCTAAGAGATTTTAATTGTGAATTCAGCCCGAAGCATTGTTATTGCAGTAATCCTACTTATAATGGAACTCTCCCAATGGTATTGTTTGTACTTTTGCTAACGACACCCTCTAATAAAAGTTAATGACTGGTGGAGCCTTTAGGAAACACTTTTCTGCTTAATTTTCGAAGAGATTTAAATTTTATCTTTTAGTTTGATTTTGTTTCAAACAAATCACATAATTCTTTTCATTAATTGAGTAAAACAGAATTAAACTCATCATTTTCTCTAAGATTTTCCGCATTAAAAACTGAAAGAATCCAGTCAAAAAGTAACATTTGTCACCATCGCCTAGTCTACGTATTAAGATGAATTACCGACAATGGAGTAGTGATCATTTCGTTTTGTGTGTTTTTATCGCTTTTCATTCGTCGTAAACTATAAACTGCCAATGATTTATGTAAATGGAGACCATAAAAGAATTTATTTTATGAGAATTTTCGGAATTTCTCTGATTCTAATGAAGGCAGTAGTGCAAGTTCTTTAATATTTACGTCTTTTCTTTTAAGAATTTGTTTCGTATTTGCCTTACAACAAATGAGAATTCTTCGAATATCTGATATAAATTTTTAAGTAAGGAATGAAAATAAAATTCTCTTCCGGTTTCTACCATTCTGAATATTTAAAGAATCGAGCAATATGATCTCCCAATTTTCTTTCCGCCAGCTTTATGAACTAAAGAGGTTTAAGATAGTAAATTTAAAATGCTGTTGACAGTGCAATAAATAATTTTATTTTTATCGAAGCTAGATGATTAATTTTATATAAAATAATTTATAAAATTTTAAGAAATTTAATTGAAATATAGGCTATATCATATATAAAGAGTAAGAATATACTTCGATGCCATTAAATATCAAATTAAAGGCTCTTTAAATTTGATATGTAATAGTGTCAAATTTACTTTTCTCTTTTAAGAAATTGCTTCCTACTTTGAAATTTCTATAATATGACTCTATCTTTAGCAATGAAAATATAATTATGATAGATATGGATAAATGTACAGTACAGTATATAAGCTTTGGATACGTTAGAGATGATAAAATTAAATGAAATAGCTCTTATGAATGTAATGTACTGCAGTGTACGTTAGTTATATAAGTGAATTTTAACAGAAATTGCTTGAAAATATGGTTATCGTAATGAGAATTGATTGAGGAATTACAGATAGAAATTTAGATAGATATTTTTACTCCTATAATAAATACTTGTTGAAAGA